CAAGCTGTGGCGACGGAAACGTGCACGAACGAAACTTTTGCTTTTTGAGCAGATACGTTGAGGGTGACGTTGTATCATTGCTGGGGCAGAAGGGCACTTAGCTGTCCTCCACTTCTTATATATTGAGTTTGAGTCGTTATTAGGGGTAATTTCTCTAGTTGCGGCCGAAAAAGGAGTTGGAGCAATTTTCCGAAAAACAAGACGGCCGCCACCATAATTGCTGTGAGTGGAAAATTTATTTCGCTCGTCGCTGTAAACGTAGGACCGCTGGAACGATGCCATTTGGAGGCGAGTGAGATGTTCACTAAGTTTATGCACAAAGTGTGCCAAGTTTCATTAGAACAACAGGTGTGAAAGTTATGTTTCTAACGAATAAAGAAATAAAGCTGTACGGGATATCCAATATTGAACCCAAAATGCTGTGTTATAGCGGGCTGTGCAGAGTGTAGACTTGGGCACACAGGTGCTTGGACTTGATAGTAACATGACACATCACTTATTATACCAAAGAGAGGTGGCATTGGAAAGCCAGGTGGAAACTTGGTTTTCGCGGCATAACTCAATGGGAACCGGTTTTGACCATGAAAGGGCTGTCAAGAGAATACAACTGGTCGTGGGAGGTGGGGACTTCACAGGTAGGAAGGGACTAGTGGACTGTACTTCCAATTGAAACAACTTTACGAAAGGTGGATCCAAAGCCGAGAAAGCAAAGTTTTCGGCCAATACACGGTTTGGCCGTCAAGGGCTTTTGCGGTCAGCTGTTGTGTAATAACCTGTTGTGCGAGGTGCTGATTTTCGGCGCGCAGGTACTTTGACATGGCCGTAACTTGACACAACACTTATTATACCAAAAAGAGTTGGCATAGCGAAACCAGGTGGAAATTTAGTTTGGGTGGCGTAACTAAATGGGAACTGGTTTTGACCGTCAAAGGCTGTCAAGATAATACCACTTATCGTGGGAGGTGCACACTTTACAGGTAGGAAGGGATCAAGGGACGGTACTTCCAGCTCGAACCACTTTGTGATAAGTGGCTCTAAAGCCGAGAAAAAAAAATGTCTAAAAAACTCATGGTGTCAGCGTTTTTACATCCAAAAAAACGCTGATCAAGAAGCACCACATAAACTTCCATACTCAAATGTCAATTCTCCAGTGATTCCGAGTTTCATTGTTGTTTTCTTTAATTCATATTTGTCACTTTTTTTTACCGTTCGAATCTTTCTTCATGAAGTACAGATTGCGTGCCATACTTGTCCGGAAATATCATCGACACTTACGATGAGGACGAAACTTCTTTGGAAGGCATTCCTCCAACGAAATTGGCACTGCATACCCGCGAGTGTGGAATGGAATTTCAGTTCGTCCCATCGGCGCTAACACATATAGGCGTTACTGGTACGAAAACAAACGCAGAGCGCAAAGCGGCAGTGTAGAATATGTCAGCCGTGCCGACACAATGGCAGACATGAACGGGAGCCCAAATTTCTCGCGTCGTACGGCACGGGTCCATCGTTGTCGATGTCCCACAAAACATCGGCGAGGTGAAAAACTGTGAAACTTTGTCTTCACGAGATACGACGCATAAGTATTCAAGCACTGAATGGCGCAGCACAGGCAGCACTTCATGCTGTGAACCCAGCGCAACTGCACCGCTCCGACTTCAGTGCGTACCAACGTACGCGGCGTGGTTTCGGTTTCGTTTTCTCTCGGATTCTCACCACCAACCTTCGGTACCCGCCGCGCGGCGGCGCGCCAGTCGCGTCGCACGGAGTATATAAGGCCGGATCGGGGAAAGGGAGCTAGGGGCTCCACAAAGTGCATAAACCGAATCGGCTCGCCGACGACGACAACTCCAGCAACGCAGCGAACGCAACGCGAAGCATGGGCTACAGCCTACAGCAGCCCATGCTTTAGTGGCGACCTCTCGTGCCGTCGACACGAAGTGCTGCAGCCGTGAGCGCTCGCTGAGCTCAATACACCTCCTCTAGTTTGTTACGTGCAGCAGGTTCAAGGTTGACGGTGCGAAAACACGGATAATAAAGGCGCAGGGGTGCTGTTATCCTTCAACTATGTTGCACAAGTAATACCTTGAGCGCACCTCACCGTTTTCCACGACTTAAAAAAAAAAATGTTTTTTTCTAAATTGTGATTAGTGGTTTTTAATGCCAGAGAATGTTTCAAACAGTTAAAAAGTTAACAAATTGTAATTAATTCCTACTTATCGCGACGATTGGACCCCTGTATGAATAGACCGTACGCTAGAGCTTCGCTTTGCTAGCTGGAGCTCGTGCCGTCACTTCGAATCATGGATCAAACACGCCCGGCAGCAAGTTTTGCGCATTGTTCATACGCGGCGCGAAGTAGTCCTTACGAGATTTGCTTGTCGGAGAAAAAAACTATAATTTTGGCATTTGGAACATGTACGTCTTGATAAGACAGCATATGTCTAATCTAAAATTCACCTACATACATCTAATCATCAAGATCAAGGGGGAAATCAAATCAGTAATGCTCCGCGAGGAGCCGGACTTTTTTTTACTAAGATTCTTGAGGTGAAAACGGGTATAAAACTCGATTATGGGACGTATGACTCACATGGATAGACCAGAATATTGTAGCTGTCACGACGTTTTTTAAGCAAATATGTAAAGACTAAAATTAAGACACGTGACGGTGAATAGTGATGTGGAGATGACAAGCGACACACTTTGCGGCGATCTACAAGTGGAATATCAATTTTTCTTTAGTGCGGATATGCTTGTACGAACACGGTTGTGGATGATGAAACGAGTAGCTTCGTTTGGAACGGTTTCTGACCTTTCTATGAAATATGATTGTTGTGGATCCCAGATGAGCGGTGCATATTCAATCTTGAGTCGAATGAGAGCGGGTTATGCAGTCAATTTTGTTTTTCAAGTGGTTAAGGTTAATGACACCTTAGAGAAACGAGGATTTTGTTATTTTTAGCTGTAACATAGGTAATGTTTGATTCCCATGAATAGCTTAAAGAGAAGTGAGTTCTGAGATACTTGCACGGAGAAGAGTTTTCAGCGGTTGTTTTGGAAAAAGCGCAGTAAACTGTGCAGAAACACGCTCGTTAGTAAAGTTGATATAGTTTTCGAAATATCAATTTCCAGTGTGACACCATGCTTCGAGTAGTCATTCGCGAAGTACGTGACCTTGACAGTCCTGAACTTGACCCAGATTATAAAGTAGGCTGGAGAGACACTGATGATTCAGAAAGACTTTATTGCAATCCTCGTAGCTTCAACGTTCTTGTTTCTCGTAATTTCTTGGTTTGCGGTCACGTCAAGTCGGGCGTCTCAGACTTCGCCCCCATGGAGGCTCGACACAGCCGTGCGTCACCGGGGCTCCGCTAGGCCTCGTGGGACCGCAGCAGGCACGCCTGCATCATCTGCCGCAGGTTGTCCACGAGCCAGACGAACGGCCTGCCAACGCAGTTCAGCGGCACTCCATCAAAAACCGGAAACATTTTTCTTTACTCGTAAAATCGTCGATTTACGGAGCTCTCGAAGGGGTTCACGCATTCTCTCCGGTTTAGTTTGAGGAATGTCTAACACATGCGATGATAATTCTAAGGCCCGTGAGATCATGCATGTGCGTCTGCCCACCACGGCTCGACAGCCAAATTTAACGTGAAAACCTGAATTGGTGTATAATTAATTATTTATACCCTAACAGACCTTGTTCAAAAGTCCACCAAGCAACATCGGAGGTCTTCGGCACGAAATCATACCTTTAATTCTTAATATCTAGGTTAGGTGGCGCAAGCTACCGCCCACTCGTTTTACGCAATACTTGTTTTCGACACGACCTGAGCCGAGTTAACCATGAGCTCTATTATTTGTTTATTTATGAAATATTTCCAAGATAGGGGACCAAAATTCGTGTTCCAGCCCTAATCTAAACCAAAGCTTACAAAAAAAAAAAAATCCCGTTTTTTTTTGTTTTTTTTTTTGCAAGTGAATTGCGGCGAGGTTGAGGCGCTTCCGCTTCACCACTTTGCTTCAACCTCTACTGCATACAGTTTCGCTCCCGTGTGTAACTTACGTCCTGGTAAATTTACCGCACGGTGTTCATGTTACTGTGAGTCGCCGGACACCATGACGTCACGGGACACTAAATTCCCGCTACATTTAGCGGAAAAATCTTCCAGTTAAATTTAGCGGTGAAATTTCTCCACTAAATTTCTTGGGAAGCGATTTCCGTGACGTCACAGCGACACGGGGCGTGACGCCATATGACGTCACGTCTCGTGACATCACGGCCCTACTAGAAAGACACGCGGGATCCGCCGCGAAACCTCGGCAACAGAGAATTTAGGGAGTTTTCGTAGACCGCGTTTCCCCCTCCGCTAAGTCCTCCACAAAGAAGAAGCCGCTACTGCGCCTGCGCGCCCATGGCCTTGACTGTGGAGTTCCGGGTATCGCATAGCGGGTTGCGGAGAGCGTTGCGGGATGGCGAAAACGATCCTCGAAAACTCCTTTTAGTAGATCGTTTCGATAACGATACCCGATACACCGTCGATGCCTTTGCGCATGCATCGTTTCGCCATCGCGTATCGCTATCCGAACGATCTATTAAAACTTCCCAATAGGAAGGTTTAGTGGTTCGTTCCGATACCTGCCATAACGATGCCCGATAACGATACGATGAACAGACGAAGGCGCCGGCGGAGCATCGGGTATCGTGATCAGAACGATCCACTAAAACTTCCTAATAACGGCTATCGCCGTAATACCGGCAGGTGCACCAAGAAAGCAGAAAGTACTGTTGTGGCTCATACTGTCAGCGATATCGTGCAGGACGCATCCACCTCGAAAAGGCATCTTACGTGGCCGGGTTGCACTCTTCATCCGGCCTATCTGACACGGTCCTGCATAGATTGAAACCGGTTGAAACGCGGTGCCACCGTCACACACGTCACTTCGGTGGACCGCTTTCGAAAAATATTACCCGAGCCCTTTGTACCTACCTTTGATTCGACCTTCGGTGCCTGAAAAAGAAAAAGAGGAAAAGCGGGAGATTGTAAATTTTTGTTCGGAGGAGACGCCAAATGCCGGGAATGCCCTCACGTCGAGGCGTTGTGCACCGGGCATGGCTTTCTTCCGAGATGACGCCTGAAATGCGGACCAGTCCGACTTTGAGAATCTTTCAGCGTTGCAACGAAGGGTAGGGCGAGACGTGGTCGTTGGCAAAAGGAAAGGCATGCACACATGTCGAAACATGACTCTCAAAATGACAGTAAAAAAAAAAAAAAAAAGCATGCAAGAAATTAGAAGGTTGACGGATGATATTTATGAAGGCGGGGGGCTACCGAATTATCGCCGATGCCTGTATATACATGGGCGGCGGAGTAAAGCTCATCGGAGAAAAGCTCACCGGAGAAAATCTCACCGGAGATAAGCTCACCGGAGAAAAGCTCACCGCAAAACCGGCAGATGCGGAGAAAAGCTCACCGGCCTTTAAGCAGACGCGAAGAAAAACTCACAATTTTTTTTTAACTTAGCGGATTCTGCGTTAAACGTGGCAATTTAAACAATTCGCATTCATCACTTTATTAAAAATAAATCAACCTTTTTGTAATATTCTTGAAGTTCATTGTGCATATTTACTAATTCCTCAGAAATTAGTAATCTCCCATTCTGTATATTAATGAAGCTGCAAGTATAAAATCAGAACATCGTACACCGGTATAAGAGACAACAATTCATTGACAGCTGACAGTGCGCCGTCGGTAGCTCTGTCAGATAAAAAGGTTCGTTTTTTGCGAGCTAGTATGAATAGCGATGTGTGAACCGTTTCAGCTCCAAGTATTGTGTAGTGCCTAATAGATCTATTTGTTGATGTAATGAGTGTCGGCTACGCTGTTTTCTTTCTGTTAATTTCACTAAGAAACCTTTAGTTTCGAGAACAGCTTCGTCCTGTCGTGTTTCTTGTCTTCACTCCGTCGTCGACGTTTGAGTGGTTTTCATCATGTATAACGCTTACCAACTCGCCCTATTCGCTACCTTACAAAAGACTACTTCTTATGTAGGTCACGAGTAACAACGGTGTCGGTGTGCAGCTCTGAAGGTCATGGATGGTTCGCTGCAGAAGGGCACTATCACACAAAGGCAACGTGTGGAAACACCAGCACGAACGGCTAGAAGACGTTCATGTCCGTGGAAGAAAGAAGCCTCGATATCCTACTTACTGTTTTATCCTGTTTTCAAAGGTTAACAAAAGCTTCAAAGAGAGTTTCAGGCACCGCGTTGTTGTGTATGCACTTTCGAATTTTGGGCATTTACAGTTTTGAATTTTTAGGTCTTAGGCAGACAGTTTTAGGTTTTTGAACTTTTTCCTGTTCTTCAAGTTTATAAAGTTTTCAGTTAGGCCACTTCTTGGCAACTTTCAGTTCCCAAGAAAGTAAGTCACAGAAAACACTCGCCCACAATTATTAATTGGGTAGTAGTATATCCAAAAAGTTGAAGAAATAATATAGAAAATGCCATTTTCTTTTTTACAAAGCTGACGAATTTTAATGACAATAAGTTGATATATGTTACGCATAATCACGCAGCCTTCATATAAAAAGAAGAAAAAAAAATATCGGTGAGCTTTCCTCCGCATACGCTCAATGGCCGGTGAGCTTTTCTCCGCATCCGCCGGTTTCGCGGTGAGCTTTTCTCCGGTGAGCTTATCTCCGGTGAGTTTTTCTCCGGTGAGCTTTTCTCCGGTGAGCTTCTCCCTCCGGGATTCGTATATACATATAGTGTGACGATTTTATTAAGATTCCTGCTCCTTTCCAAGGCACATCCGAAGGAATTTCAATTTAGCGGACCCGAACAACAGACCTGCGAGCCGGGAAAGTTTCTTCATGTTATACAAGGCCTCAAAAAACATACAAAAAAATTGGCTTGTGTAATAGGTGAACAAAGGTGCTGTAGGAGGCTATTTATCTTGCCGATCTCGAAGTTGTCGCAGCATGTTTTTCTTTGTCTTTTCTTCCTCGATCACAAATATCGTGGCAGCGGAGAGCAAATTCCATAATGCACCGAGGTCTGATGTCCGATTTCCTCGCGAATGCCAAAGCGTCTTACTGTTTGAACCTTTTATACACCAACACGCTGTTGCCAAACAAGCCCGCGTTTGCCCACACCAGGTGTTGGCACTGCGCGTGCGCGGAAACCAGACGCACAAAGATACAAAAATAAAACAGCGTAACCCTTTCGCTGATGTTTAGAAACAGATTTCCACAGGTGATGTCCATAGGGGCCAGGAATTAGAGGGGTTTACATGGGTGCTACCGCAGCGCATCTAATCGAGATTTGACGACAATGGTAAAAAAAGAAAGAGAAAGGAGGATTGGGCGCGTGTGATTGGTCTCCTGTTGATCATATCTTTCCGTCACATTCATCTAAGAAAAAGCGACTTTTTGCACTTGCCTAACATATTCAGCGTCTCCACTGTAACATTTTGTAACAAAAAATGGCGTCTGATACATGCTTTTTGTTGTGATCATGAAGGGTCTTTTTATAAGATTTTTAAATTGCAATTCGCGGGCGTAAGTTCCACGAATTTCAACGGCTGCAGCCCAAAAAGGTTTAGATTCAGCGTCGGTGTAGATAGTGTTATCTAGAGTCACTAAATAAGCTACGCCTTATTTAGTGACACTAGCCTGTTATGAAGATAGTATAGTCAAGAAATGTTCCACCTCGGGAGATTTTTCTGGGTTCATTACCGCTAAATTCAATTTAAATGCAAACCTTGAACGTTATTTACCTGTCAGACCTACTTTCCACCCTCGAAATTGCATTAAAACTTAAAGTTTGAGGTGGTTCATGGCTTTTTGCTGCCGGCCACTCCCGTAACCGTATACAGGGTGTTCCCTTTCACAAATAACACATTAAAAAAAAAAAACAAAAAACTGTGTGACTTTAACATGGGTGCTGTTTTCGTTGTGTATTTAGTTAGCCTGAACAATATTTATTACGATCCATCGGCTAATTAATCAAAAGTGCCTAATTAGCTTTTTAAGTACTGCTTTTATGAGTCGTGTTCCTAGTGAAGTGTTAAAGTCAGTCACCAATAATGGTTGCACCAATTTATACAATTTGCGAAAAGGCAATGGGCTTTCAGATATTCAGCGATACATCTTTGAATGTTTGTCGGAAATTCAAAAAGTGCGCACAAAGCGCGCCTTATTATCAAGGTACAAGAGTGACGTAATACCCGTGCCCGTCACCTCTTTATCTCGGCAGCGCGTGGTAGGTGGAAGCGTCAGCAGGAGTTCATTAGACATTTTTAGTTATTTAGTGTATGGATCGTGACAAATACTGCCCCGGTCCCCCAACTTCAAAAGTATGTTACAAAAAAAAAAAAAAGGTTCATTCGTATTAGCCATTTTATAATTTAACTGGGAATTGGGTAGGCTTTTGTGGGATTTCTAGTATAGAACTCACAGAAAGAAAGGGAAGGAGAAAGAAACGCGGTCCTTCTGAATACAAGTAAATGAAATAGTGCACTCCACCCGAAATAATTACTATCCTAAACCGAATCATGCTGTCATGCTATTGTTTGTATACCTTTTGTGTTCTTTGCGGCTTGGTTTCTTCGGCTCGGGCGAAACTGACTCCGGGTTTGCTTTGGAGGTTACGCACACTGCCGGGTCGTTGCTGAAAGACAAAAACGACAGGCAGATCACTCGCAATGGATGCTACGGTGGATTCTTCCTGCCATCATCAGCGGCAATGCCTGCTTGTCCACATCGGTCGGCAGGGGGCCCGTTAAGACGAGTGCACTAAAGAACGTGATTTTTGTAAATGACCGAGAACCAACGCCACAAATGATTTCACAAAACAAAAATAATATATATATATATATATATATATATATATATATATATTTTTACGTTTGGAAAATTGTTTACGAAGTAAAGTCACCGTCATCGTCATCTAAAAAAAAGAAAAAGAAGAAAACGTTGATTTTTTTATTTTGAAGTTCACCAGCGTCTGGAATGCAGTGATCATTTTTATTTGCTTAGAAGGCGTTAAAATATTGTTTAGAAGAGTGAGGAAGACTTTCTTAGAGAGTTTTACGAACTTCTGCGCCTGCTCGGTGCGAGAGAGAGAAAAAACTTTTGAACCCAAGCTCCCCGGGAGGCGCAAAGCGTCGGGGCTATTCCAAAACTCTCTTATGTTTATTCATTTCCCCGCTAAAGTTAGCGGGGAAATCGGCTGACGTCACGTGGACATCTCATCTGAAGTCACATAACGCACCTCACGGACGTGGCGTCGCAGTGTCACGTGACTAAACCGTCAAGGACGTTAGGTCACGTAACATCCATTTCCCCGCTGAATCTAGCGGAGAAATTGACGTCATTTGAGCGACAGGTATGACATGTCATTGCCTGACGTTCATGTGATGTCAAGTTCCCCGCTAGATTAAACGAGAAAATGAACAGACGGATGGTCAGATGTGTGAGATTAAGGGGGTGCGTACAAAAAAAAGAAAAAGAAAAAAATTTCATGTCTTAAAACACAAAACTAAAAAACACTTTTTGAGCAAAGAGCGACAAGGGTGGGCGTGTATACGCACCTTGGAGGGGGACTTTGTACGGGCGGGGACAGGGGCAAAGACTGCACCTCGGCCGGGGACCCTGGGACCGGACTTGAAGGTTCTTCGCTAGGTCACGGGCGAAGAGTTCGCATGAAGTGGGCATGGCCGCAACGACAGCGGCCGGACACTCGCACACGCCTCTCTCTCTCGAACCACTCACCTCTTCTCAGAGCTGGAGGCGCTGTCGAAGCAAGGGATGCTGTAAGAACGAGCTCCACACATACACACAAAGATACGCACACACACATACATGCATACACACGCACACGCGAGCGCGCGTACACAGACACGCACACCCATTGAAAGTATGGTGCCCGACTGGTGCCCCATGCAGGGTCGTGGCCAGGGGGGGGGGGGGGGGGGGGTGCTTATGGGGCTTCATTCCCCCCCCCCCCCCCCCCCCCCCCCCGCAATGCAGCCGACCCTATGATATACACATATGTTTTGACCTTTCCTCCCCGTCCCCCCCGAAAAAATTCCTGGCTACGCCACTGGCCCCATGCGTGCAAGCACGTGCAGAATGCGCGTGAACACAGCTTTGGAAAGCTTGAAATTGCACGTATACTTGCCCGCGCGAGCAAAGACATGGCGGCCGCCAGATGCCCTGCTTGCAGAGCTGGCAGTAATGCAATTACTGTAATGAAATTACAGTAATTTAATTACTTGTTCCAGTAATTAGTAATGTAATTCATTACTTTTTGTAGCAGTAATTTAGTAATGTAATGAATTACTCCAGCGACGGTAATTGTAATGAAATTACCTAATTACTTTTTCGCACCAGGCATATTTTTTGTGTCCACAATACACAAGAGCGCTTTTCTTTTTATTTTACTTTTTCTTTTTCCTCTACATTTTTCCAAAAAACGCTCTTTGGCCGCCGCTATGTTGCTGATGCTAATGCGGCTGGTGCGACTCTCGCGCCCGCTATCAGCTAGACACTTTATGCCACTCTTTTGAACTGTGAAAACCCGCTCAGCGCGATTCTCTACCTATGTTTTGCGGTTTTGCATTCGACGTTTTCTGGCCCCTCTTGAAAGTTTCCGCTTACTTTTTCTGATGCATACTGCGTACCCTCTCTGTGTTATCTTCCACTGTGAGAAATAGGGCTGGTAAGTGCCTTCCATTCGAGCTTTTCTGCTCGACATTCTCGGGAAACGAAGGAGGGGAAGTAGGTCGAACTAAGCCCCTGGCGAACGGCCCTCGACGCGATTTTGCGAACAATGACAATTGTTCTCCCCCCACCCAGAGATATCCGCGTAGGGTCCTCAGTCATCTCCAAAAATAGTTGTCCGGGTTGGGGTGGGAAACGGATCAGTCGCGTGCGTTCCTCTGTCCATCGGTAAACATGCAACAGAGAGTTCTAGCTGTGTGCCATGAAATGTGTAAATAACGTAAATAAAGTTATCTGTAAAAGGAAGTTATCAATAGCTCCTTTATATTTAAAAGTATACAAAAGTAATGCGAAAGTAATGTCATTACTTTTAAAAGTAATTTGTAATGGTAATTAATTACTTTCTGGCTGTGGTAATTTGTAATGTAATTTAATTACATTTAAGCAATTTTCAGCAAAGTAATTAGTAATGTAATTTAATTACAAAATATGAGTAATTTGGCCAGCTCTGCCTGCTTGCAATCGTATATATATTTTAAAAAAAAATATGTGGCGTGCGATTTTTGCGGAGAAATCACGGCTGCTCTTATGATTCACCCGCGTAGCAAAGCCTTCGAGCTTGTCGTCTGCTAAACCCAACTAAACCCAACTCAACGAAACCGCCACCGACTCCGCGGTAACTCTAGGTAACCCTCGCCTCGTTGAGCTGCACTACAGCGGAGTCACTCTCGACCACAATATATTTATTTATAAGAACTGCGAGGGCTGCCAGTTTTAATGTTTATACGCAAGCTTTTTGGCGGGCTTATCGAAAAGCAGCCAAAACGTTTCAGTGCCGACAACAACTTAGAAACGGGGGAAACGTCACTTTTTCTCGTTCTTCCCATAGAGCCCCTTGCATTTGGTAGAGTCAATCAATGGCCGCCGATGGCGACACTCGGCCCCAGCTGCCGACGCCGCTGTCCGCGATCCAGCCTACTACAATAGAGATCAGTGGTACCGCGGTACGAACTTTGCGCCACGCAATGGTCATTCAGCTGATCACTAAGGTTGCTATCATGCTTGAGGCAGTAGTTTAGATTTCGCCGTAAAAAAATAAAAAAAAAAATAAAAAACAACAGCTTTAAGACAAGATATCTACAAAACTACAAAGCCATTGAAAAAAAAAAAAATGACACCCCATAATTTAGGGACACTTTCCTTCACTAAAAGCAATCTTAACCCTAGAATCCAAAAAGTACTGGAGAGGATTTTATTTGAAAGTTAAAAATAATATACTAACGTTTTCTTCCCCTGAAAATTTTACTGCTGAACTTAAGGTCTCATTTTCTTAACTCGCTTTTTTGTGATTTTTTTGCATTGTATATTACTAGTCCTTGCTATGACTTTCAATGGAGATCGTTAAATAAAATAAAATTAACAGGAATGATGGAAGACTAACGTGTCACTGCTGTCGGAGCTTCCGGTGGAACTGAAAGAAAAGAGGGGTAAAGAGGCACAAAGGTTTCGTAGCTAATTTGGAAGATGAATTGCACCAGTCAAACGCCGTATTTCATGTATTTATCGTTCGCGGTATATAAGCTCGCACGATAATGCATTACCTCTCCGATGATGAATTTGAATCTTTTCCCTCGTCGCTGAAACAAGCAAGTCATTTGTTAGGCATTACTTAAATACGAGCAGGGCACATAAATGTAGCACGTCGCATTGCCATTGATATGAACGACACGAATTAACCCATACCGTGCAGAGATAGACAACGAACTGGGTACGAGGAACTTGCGACATCACTTTCTTACAAATCCCCGGATGGCACTTTGGAAAGAAGATTAAAAAAGTAATTTATGTCACGATGTCATTAAAGTTGATAAATGAAGCATGAGTGTCATCAGAGCAAAGAGCAGCTTATTTTCTTGTCTCTTTATTTTTTTTTCTTCTTTCAAGATACGTGTTTTGAGAAAAGTCATCTACTTTCGCGGACAGCTACAGTAGCCTTGAGCCTTTCGCGTACCTGAGAGCTTATTTTCTTTTTTTTTTTTTTTTTTTTAATTGTTACAGTTTTGATTGGGAAAACGAAGTTTCGGGCAGATTCCTCAAACAATGTGGAGCGCAAGTTCGTCTGCTTCTTTGCAGGGGTTGTGGTGACGTCAAGATGCTGAGCTCTGATTGGCTCTGATTGAAAGATAGTGAGTAAAGCTCAAGGCAGTTAATATTGAGGTGTACCCACTATCTTTTAATCAGAGCCAATCAGAGCTCGGCGTTCTGACGTCACCACAACCACCTGCAAAAGAAGCAGACGAACTTGCGCTCCGCATAGTGGACGGATCCATGCGCCGAGAAACTGAGAGAGAGGATGAGACGAGAGAGTGCGGGGGACATCAAAACGCCGAGCTATAGTTGGAATGATTAGTGAGTAGACGCAAAGCTAGTTGCCTCTGTTCTTTGTGCTCACTCTTCGAACCCGTTCAAATGCGAGCGCAGAACGCTGGACGCTGGCGTTTGGCAATCGAACGCCTTCGAAGTTGTGTGCAGAGAAAAGGGTAGCTAGTTTTGCCTCCCACCAGAGTGTCGAAGCGAAATTTTTATTGGTTCGGTTCGAGTTCGAGTTCACGGTTTCCGGTTCAGTTCCGGTTCAGTTCATGGAAGCAAAAATAGCGGTTAACCGGTTCGTCGAACCGCAGAAGTGAGAATATATTTTCCGAGTTGTTTAGGCAATGGGCACTATTTCAGCCATGAAAGTTTTTGTTTTATCCTGTATAGAACCCATATTTATTTTCAAGTATTAAAAATGAGAAATAGCGTTATTTATTTTAAACGCATCTGTAAAAAAAAAAAAAAAAAATGTTTTTATTACCATGCAAAACGTCGTATTTATACGCCTGAACAACCATTTGTTTACCTAGGTCACGTATGTTTTATCTGAATCGAAAGGTTCTCACGAAGTGCGGCATGTCGCCTGAAATACCCTTGATTGGTACAACTTTGCGTCGCAGTCTTAAAAGTTTAATTGTAGTTGTGCTCTTAAACAAAGGTATTAATGACAGCGCTTAAAATTATGGAATGCGCAGATCGTCGTCACATATATTCTGAAATATAATTTAAGAAATACGTTTCACAATATAAATGATGACGACGCAACCGAGCTAAAAGCATTCATATTTTCAAAATGTTTCAAAAGTTTTGGGACACTTCTCTTCAGTCTACCTCTGATAGAAACACTGAGCGGTAATAACAACGCTTGATTTCCTAACCCACAATGATGTAGGCCAAGAGTCATGCAGAAAACAGTGATCAAGATTGTACTCAGATCGAAGCTGGCCTAAAATAGCGCGTACTCAGGTGAACATACTTATACAAGGATAAACTGGCATAGCCTGTTCGTTTAGTTTTCTTTCTTGACAAGATGCTGATCAATTCAATTTGAAAATTAGCATCACGTTGCTAATTAATGATTTTTTTGTTAAATAGAACAAAGCAGCATTTGATGCTCCATTCTCGACATGGCAGCTACTTAATCGGTCGCTTTCTGGCGGTCTGCGTGCATAATCGTCATCGTTTCGCCACGTGCCCCTGTGCGTTTGGTTTTTTGTCCAGCCCACAGACATAAAATTGCTGTTCGTCATATAAAAGAGGTAATTACAGGCATATATGTTTGAAAAGTTAGTTATGTGTCACGAACACACAGTTATTTAAATCCGTTTCAAACTTAAAAAATTGTTTAAGGCTCTTCCAAATCACTTACACACGTGTCTATCGAGGATAAAGACTCAGGAAAAGATTTGCAGATCATCTTTCAAATAATTGGGGATGCATTTACTTATGACGTATATTTTAAGCTGATATTTTAAGCTTCATTTATGTCATCAAATTTTCAGTTACTAATTAGATATATATTTATTGTCATCAATAAATTTGAATATGACAATCACATATCCGCTTTAGACCGACACAGGAGGACGATAGTCGAAGAAACGCCAGCTGTTGAACCGATCTGCTAAAGCGTGCTTTTATGTTCGTCGTTTGGCAGTGTGAAACAGCGGGTCGCGGGGTATGCCAAAAAAAGCCTTTGTGTTCACATGATAGATCTGAAGGCAAATAAACGAAATGTGCAGAAAATGAAAGATGATAAATGG